CTCTCCCCCCCCCCCCCCCGCGCTGGTCCACCCAGGGCTTGGGGCTTGACCCTCAGCTCCAGCACAGACCCCCCCTTCACCCCAGGCAGGAGGGCAGACCTGGAGTCTGTTGGACTTGATGAAACGGTTGGACTTGGATGATCTGAAAGGTCTTTTCCAACCTAAACAATTCTGTGTTTCTCTGACGTGAGACACCCGAGCTGAAGCCCCTGGCTGCTGAGACCTGACGAAGCAGCAACTCCTTACAGAGCCAGAGCAGGACCACGCAGGCCCCCCAAGGCGAGCGACCCCCTCCAGCCCCCAGCGAGGGGGAAGCACCGTGGCATTGAGCAACTCTCCTGACCCCCACCTCACCCCAGCCCAGTCTGCAGGGGGCTCCTCCTCCTTGTGTTCATACCCAAACACCCAGTTTCCTCCTCCAGCGCAGAACACGGGTGCCTGCCCTAAAACCCAGCAGCGGGACCCTTCCCCAACCTTCCCCTGACCCTACGAGCCCGGCTGTGGCCACCTCTGCAGGCAGAGAGGGCAGCAGAGCAGGGGCTGCACCTTCCCGTGGGGGTCCCGCGGGCGCATTCGTGCCAGGACTCCTCTACATCAGGATGGTCTGTGCCTCTCCATCCCAAATCCATCCCCATCCCCACCCCGCAAGCAGCCCTGCTGTTCCCAAATCAGCCTCCCCAGCTGAGCTGCACTTACCCAGCATCCACCCAGCCGGGGCTCAGAGCAAAACCAGGCCGTGCTGGGGGCACAGGACAGTCACCGCTTCCAGAAGAGACTCAAGAAAAACTGCCCCGAAATCTTCCAGCAAGCACGTTCCTGCAGGCTGGCTGCAACTGGGGTGTTCCTAGAGCAGAGGCAGCCAAGACAACGTCCGTTGCAATGGATTTTTAAAAACTGAAGTCTTTATTAAAAGTTTTATCCAAATTTTGTAACAAAAGATACAAAAGGGCTGGAGATCCTTATTTCTGGGACTAGTCTGACCAATCAAAACCTGACAGTTACTAGGCTAATATAAAATCCATACAATCTGCTAAAAATGCAGGGAAAAATTAGAAGTAACTGCTGCTCTGAAATTTCTTTTAAAAATTCCTTTAACATTTATAAGTTACTCAGTTTGCATTTTACAGGACTAGTTCTTCTCCGAATGGTTACAGCTACTGTACAATGCAAGAGACAACAGCAAGAACAGAACAAAGCAACAGAAACTCGAGATGTGCTGCAGCACACACCACTCCTCTGAAGGAACCGCGGCGAAGTCTCGCCTCCCAGCGCCGGGTGCAACCACACCAGGAACGCCACAAAGTGCCAGTGCCGTCTGCACCCGTGGAGAGCCTCAACAGCAGGAGGAACAGCGGTTACCCCCGCCCCAGCCCGGCTCTCCAGCACCCAGCAGTTACCATCCCTCGGATGCCACGGGGCCAGTTCTCCCCAGAAGCTAACGGGTGTGCCGGCTGAACGCCTCCAGGCAGAGGAAGGGTGGGCATGGGGTCAGAAACCCTCCAGCGGGGAGCTCGACCTGGTTGAATTCCCCCCCTTTCCTCCTTCCAGCCACCGCAGGGTGGAGGTGGGGGGAACGCATGCTCTGCGGCACCGTCTGCGCTACCACAGAGCACAGACACGAGTGGGAGAGAGCTGGATTTCTGATCAACGCACTTCTCTTCGTGCTGAAAAGGAAAGAGGAGGAGGAGGAGGAGGAGGAGGATGTACACACCAGGCTCGCGTGGAGGCAACTGTCCAGAGCTGGTACTGGCTAGCAGAAGGACCCTGAGAATATATCGGCTAACACGGTCTCCCGGGGAACGCCGAGTTAGGTGCATCACAGTGATACTGGTTGAACGTGTTCTGTACAGTGCGAAATGGAGTTTGACAGAAGTGCAGTATCCCCTAACCTGCGATTTCCTATCTCTTCCTAACGGCAGAGGCTGCTACGGGGTGACGAGAAGCCTCGTCACAGCCAAGATGCTCCACAGCCGCAAAAATCAGACTTACTTGGACGTCCGAGTGGAAGTTATTGGGTGGCTACCGGGAAAAACATTCCAGTTTATAAAAAAAAAAAAAAAAAAAAAAAAGA